AAAAGCTGCAGATTTCACCTTTGAAATATCAATCTGGCTTTCCTCTGATCCTTTCATTTTCTAAGTACTAAAGCCAGTGCTCTCATTGATCCTTGTAGTCTTTCTCAATATCCTCCTAGGAGCTTTCCCCATGCTCTAAGTTCAATTGTTCCAACCCACTTTGGAATCTCTTATTCTAGTACATTCCCAAAACCCAGAACAGGTTTGTCTGTTTGTTTTCCAGAAACTGCTTGGCAGTTCTTTTCCACTGACTGACTTAAGTATATTTTTCTTCTTATCTCTCTCCCATCTGTCCTGGACAACATGGTATTTCCTATTTAGTTGGGCCCAAACTGTGCCTACTTTGTGACTTTATCTTCATGTTCTTCATTCACTCCTGAATGCCTTCCCATCTCAGACTGCTGACATCCTCTCTGTTTGGGGAGCTCTGCCCTTTACTGAGGGTGTGTTCCGGGTTCCTAACTTTACCACTGCGTACCATTTGTGCCTGTCGCTGCATGTCCCTCATCTCTGAGAGCTTTGCTGTTCCTTCTGTGGTGCTTACTGCTTAACTTCTCATTAAATATTTATTCAGTTGAATGGAAAGTAACTGAAATGTACTTTCTGATCCTCTAAGTTCTTCTGAAAACTCTGAAAGGTATTCCAAATGTTGCAGGAAATATTTTACCAGAAAGGACAGAGTTGCTCATTAGAACATTTCCTTGCTTTCTGTCTCTTATCCAAGAGGAAAAATATGATCCTTTCACATCTCAAATATTCCAAAATTGACCTCTTAATAAATTATGGACAGCAGCATAATTTCCCAGTACAAATTTACATTTTATTTAAATGTCATTTTGCCTAAAATGGTTGCAGAATTTTTGATCCTCATTACTGCATATTTCTTTTGCTAATTTAAAAACATTCTCAAAATGAGGAACCTGGGAACAAATTCTACTTTGAAGAGATAGATTAAACCCAGGACATTAGTACCAAAGTGGTAATGCAGCAAAAGTTCTTCTTGTCTTTACTGAAAGGATTAAAGTTTTGTAAAGGTTGGGTCATGAAGTTGCATCTATAGTTTATAGGTTTGAAGATATTTTCATTTTACAGGAAAACTGAGAACTTAATACGTGTCTTAAAATCTAGACAGTTGCCATATCATTTCTTAGAACTCATAAAATGGGTGTTAAAATTATCTTGTCTTCCTCTGTTTTTTTATTTTACACCTGACCTAGGCAGTTACTCTAACATTGATGTTGGTTCATTATGAATAATTCATAGGAAAAGAGTTGTTTGTCTCAAAGCAATAATATGCTTTAAAATTAGAAAGTCAGCTTAGGTAGGTTTAACATCTCATGGTAAGGGCTTTGAACTAATGAAGTCATGGAATCAGATTTCAGATGCATTATATCTTTGTCTTTTCTCTGCAAGTTATAGTAACCTTGTATATAGTGTAGTCAAACGATGGCTGTCTTGATCCATTTAGACTGCAAAAACAAAATAGCTTAAACTGAGTAATTCATAATCACAATATATTTATTGCTTGTGGTTTGGAGGCTGGGAATTACAAGGTCAAATTATTTTTTAGCAGGCTTGGTGTCTGGTGAGGTCCCATTCCTCAAACAGGCTTCTCAAGTCTCTTTTATAAGGCATTAATTCAATTTGGTTCTACTTCTATGACTTAACCATCTCCCAAAGACTTCTTCTCTTAATACCATTTGGAGGGAGGACTAGATTTCAATATATAAATTTTTGTTGTTGTTGTTGTTACCAGGGATTGAATCTCAAGGACACTTGACCATGGAGTCACATGCCAGCCCATTTATTTTTATTTTACTTATAATTTTGAGACAGAATCTTGCTAAGCTGTTTAGAGCCTTGCTAAGTTGCTGAGGCTGGCTTTGAAATTGTGATACTCCTGCTTCAGCCTCCTAAACTGCTGGGATTTTTGAAGGGTGCAAACTTTCATATTACAGCACTGGTAAAATATTTTTCTACTTGGTAAAGAGATATGCATAACAAAAGAAGTTTCATGAACCAAGCATCCCTGTCATTTACACTAATGAAGCCAATGTTCTTCAAGACTAATTAGGCAACTTGAACAAATCTCAAGAGAAAAAAAAAGGTTTCAGAATGTGTGATTTCATTTAAATAACATTTCTGAAATAAGAAGATTAAAGATATGAAAATTAGTGATTGCCCAGAGATAGAGGTGGAGAAGGAGGTTCAGGAAGGAGGTGGGTGTGGCTACAAAGGGATAGCATGAGGGGGTCTCATGTGGAAATGTGGTGTCCTTACCTGAAGCTGCAGAAATGATAAAACTGTTCAAAAACACTTGCAGGAATGTGTGCTGAGATCTGAACAAGCTGTAAGGATGCACTTATGTGAATTTCCTGGTTTTGATAATGTACTACAATTAGGCAAGATGTTACCATGGGTGAAGGGCTCAGGGGAAAGAGGTCCTTGACCTCCTGCCATTTAATTATTTTAAAATAAAACTTTTTTAAAAAATCAGAAATTTTCTTGTCACTTTAGAAAAGGGTTTGAAAGTGAGGTCAGGTGGTAACATAAGTAAGCCAAGTGGCTGGCCATAGGGAAGAAGAGACTTGTGGTGGAGATCAAGGAGGCAGGTGCTATTTATTAAACCATTGTGAGACCTGTGCCCCTGAAATGGCAGGGCCTTCTAAGTGTTATTATTTTTATAAAATGCCACACATGTAAATTTCAAATAAAAATCTGACTTTTAAATAATGACAACTAATTTGAACCCTTTTGAATACTGTGTGTGTAAAACTAAAGGTTCCAGAAAGCTATATTCAGTCTAAAGGCCATTTGTGCCTGAACTCAGATTCCAGTCAGAGGTTCACTTTGATCCCCAAATGGCTTCTGCACTCAACAACCTGGTAATCTTAGTGCACAGCCTCCACTAGCCTATGATCCCTTGTGAAAGACAGAGAAATGGTTATTATTCTTGAGTTAGAAGTGTTTTGTTCAGGCCACCAATGACAAGGTCACAAGTCCTGATTCAGTGACACACAGGGATTCTGGATAATGTTGGCATTTATTTAACAGAGGCTCAGACTGATGCTACTGCTGCTGAAATCCCCTGCAAGTCCCAACCAAGACTCCCAGCCACTTCCTCAGCCTGGTGCCTGGAACTCAGTAGGAGCTAAGTTTGTGTTTCTTAGGGTGTTATTTGCTCTTCCCCAGCTATCTTAGTTCTTTTACTTTTTGAAGCTGAGATTGACAAAAACTGAGAAAATAACCCCAAATCTGGCATCTTTCACTGAACTTGTTCCTAAGACTGATGGGATCATGAATCGACTTCATACACATGTGTCAGCAACACCTGTGACCTCTGTCTCCATTTGAAGCTGTGCACATAAGCCTTTTACTCAGGAGCAGGTGGAGGTGTAGTAAAGTCTTCATCCTGGTTTTGGTTCTTTAAAGTCTTTGTCTTCTCTGCCCTATTAAATGACCCGAGTCTGGACATTTTTTCGACTCCAGCGCCCAATCTAGCCAGTTGACTCAGAAGTGGTGAAAGGAGGACATGGCTAACCGTATATTCTTCACCACAAGTTGTAAAACAGCTCCAAGTGCCAAATCTGTGAGTCAGTCACACTCTGTCTTGTCCCTGCACTGTCTGAAGCATCATGTGCACTAATTAGACTTCGCATCCATTCTACCACAGCTTGAGTACACCTGATTCCTTTGTGAAGGAATTGAATAGAAAAATTCCATTTTTTTTAGCTTTTAAAATTTCATCTAACTACCCATTCTAAAATAAAATTAAAAATGATTAGAAGATTCATTTGCATTAATTCTATCTTCTTTTCCCTAAAAGTCTGCTAATAAGAGTCCAGAGAATGCTTTCTAAATCTTCTTTTTAAAAAAGTATTTGTAGGTACTACACAATTACATACCAATAAAAGAGTCTTTTTCTATTTATTTGTAATTTATTTACAATAATATGCATACTTTTAAAAGGTTAGTTCTCAGCTCAGAAATTATGCTAATGTGGTAAAAGCAATCATTCAGTGTAGCCAACTAATTTCTCTAAGGGGAAATATGCAGAGATCCTGGGCACTACGTTTGTTTTCAACTAATTATCATGTATTTACTTTTCCATTAGCCCAATAATTTTTATTTCAACTAAGAATTAAGCAATAAGATACTGAATTATATAAAGGTCTGCTTAGCATAGCAGACCCACCCCATCATTCTCTAGTCCTCTGATTTACGGCTCTTAAAATGCACAACCAAGAGGCTTCTGTATGCCCTTTCGTATTTATATTCCATCATGTAGTCACCTCAATAACTTATGCATTCTCAGAAGGTCTATCTAGCAATTAACTCTAGTCTTTTCTAACTCATCATCTCATTATGTAAAGTGGATTTGAACACAAACTTTATTAGCAACTTTCAGTTCTAATTCCTTCTTATCTCCCCATCCCTCAACTCTGCCTAGCAATGTCAGTTTATAAGTGACAAAAATACTCTGGAAAATGGCAGTTAAAAAAAAGTCCACATTGAACTGGCAGCACATTTAGTAATTGGTCTTTGCACTATGGGGCACTACAATAAATCTAGATTGTCATATTTCAGCTGAAGCATGTGATGCAATTCTTCATAGAAATGGAAATGAATTCTCCCTGCCATACAACACAGCATTTTAGCTATGTTTAGGAGGAATGGGCAAGTAAGAAAGCTGTTGCTTTTATTCAAAAGGTTTTTTTTAAAAAAACTCCACCCAAACACTTTGTTAAAAGGTAAAGGAATTCATAGTATCTCCTCTTCAAACTCTAGGAAAAGTAGGTAGGACAAACTTAGAGAATTTTCCCATGCATAAGTAATGCACTCACTGAAGACCTTAAACGTGGTTTAATGCCCATGTTCTTGTGGTAGACCATCAAGAGGGCTGAGGGAAGGTCCTAATCAAACTAAAGGGAAAGCCACCCCTAGAGACAACGTGTCCAGTGAGTGAACAGGGAGACACTTGGCCAGTGCAACTGACTTACCGATGTCGGGGTCTACAGCTTGCACTCTGGTCAACAGAGCCTTGGTGGCTGTGTTCTCATAGACACAGGTGTTGTAGTGGTCAGAAGAAAACAGAGGGGGATTATCATTCACGTCTTCTAGAACCAGGTGGATGTCGGACTGGCAGAACCTGCCACCTCCATCAGTGGCCCTGATGATGAGGTTGTACACTGGGACTCTCTCCCGGTCCAATAGAGACAAGGTTTTTAACTCACCTGTGAAAGGAAATGGCATTATGGTTGATTTGGCTTTTCAAAAACTGTCTTACTTTGAAAAATGGAGAACTAATCATATAAAGGATTGGAAATCCAAGAAGGACCAAGGAGACTTGGCTCAAGTTCTCCGTTAATCAAACAAATAGATCATATTCACTTTCTTTTAGGTACCAGGGGAAAATTATGGAATTATGGATGCAACTACAAACCAACTGCATAACCTTCAAGTCAATTAATCTCTTTTCAAAACATGGTTGTTATAGGTTCTTTCTTTTGGCTACACAGAGAACCTCAGTAGAAAAGCACAAAGCATGGACTGATGTCTCTAGTTGTCTGATGGTCAGTAATGTCACTAACCCGTAGATCCAGGAGGGCAAACTCTTTGCTTCCTGATGTTCAATTTTTATAAGGCAAGTTGAATTATGGTTTTGAAGGACCACCATAATTCTGGGCTGTGAGAAGGTCAGTGGTTGCTGGGGGAGGCATCAGGTGGTGATACATCGGCTTTTACCACTGAAAAAGCTGTGTAGGAACTGGTCAGCAGCCCCCATGGAGAATTTTTGCTGCTAAGTTTCAATAGAAAATGACAACAGACACAGCGATAAACTCAAATGAATGCAAATTAGTGAAAGCATGACTTGTGAAATATTATTACTCTTCAATAAAATTGGTAGGCATTTGGACTAAGCCACCTGGGTTTATAAGGCAGTTCCTCCTATGGCTTCGCTCATGCAGCCAGCTAGTTCTCAAACACGGCTGGGCTCATTTCCCTCTCCTATTCAAAAAGCCACCAGTGGCTCTTCAGTGGGACATTCAAGGCCCTCTATGATCGGGATTAAAGTCGTTTTTACTGTCACTTTTGTGCTCAACATTCGCTGGGCTGGGTGTGCTGTGCTCTCCGTTCATGCTGTCCCTGTTAACCTGCAGTGTCCTGGTTTAGCTCCTGGAATCAATTCAAATTCTGGTCCTTCCTTTAAACAGTTCCATCTCATCACCATATTGGCTACTTCTTCCAATGGGCCCAGATGCAAGTTCCTTTATATTTCTTCTGGGTACACCTTTCATTAGGGTTTGCTTTCCTGTCTTTCCTACTGGAAGACAAAATACTTCGTGGGATTTGTGTGGTAGGCTCCAAGAAACAGAAAACAATCCGTGCTCAAGGGATTTCATGTCCACTAGCTACTCAATGAATGTTACTGTCTGAATAATTATCATGGGGCTCAAATAGCTAACTGGTATATGCCCCTGCAGCTAAGTCAGCTCTTCCACAATGGACCTTGGGAGTGGGTCAAGGAGGAGTCATTACCTTTTCGAAAACTAGTCATTGTTCACTATGACTAACCCAACACTGGCAAAATTCAATCTGCAGTGTATTTAAAAAGACCATTGGATTAATCATCCAATTCATAATTTGCCTCTGTAGAAAATGACTTTTCCCTTAGCTCTGGCCTTCAATGTTGGCAACTGCCCTTAGTTTACATAATGTTTTACCTTATAAATTTCATCTATATACACTCAAAGGTTTGGAGAAACTAGGCAGGAATGTTTAATAAAACTTGACAACTATGTTAATAAGAATCAGAAAGGGATTTGAAAGGGAATTCAAAATGAAGAAACTTTCCTTATTATGCATTACTTCCCAGCTTGCATGGCAACTACATTGGAGCTGTGATTCCTCTTAACTCACAGACATGAGAAAAAAAAAATAGAGAGATGTGATACTTGATGCTAACAAACATAGGTAAAGTATAGACAAATTTTGTGAACCAAATAAAGCCTGTGTAGTTCCATATTTGCATGCCATGTCTTCTCATTGTTTCTTAGAGTCCTAGATGATGAGCATCCTACTAACACTCTTGGGTACCAACTATTCACCAGTGACAAGACCACATGAGAGTTTAGCTTCTTTTGTGGATAAACAATGGCATTTACCCAAAGAATAGATTTCAACTTACCACTTTCTGCATCTAGAAAAAATTCATTGCTTCCAGATCCATAGAGTGAGTATCGTATATCTCCATTGGATCCAATGTCGGCATCCTTGGCGCTGACCTTCAGTATGATTTTATTTGATGGAATATCTTCGGGGAATAATGCTGTATATGAAGACTGGGCAAAGGTGAACAAGAGTAATAAAATCATTAGTATTTGTGGGACAGTTGCCATATTAGCAATATATGATTTTTTTTAAAAAAAATTCACTTTTTAAATACTCTACTGATTTTATCATTCACCAACAGTTTTCTCTTTTTTAAAAATTAGTGCATTGTGGATATGTATAGTGATGAGATTTACTGTGATATATTCATATATGCACATAGGAAAGTTAGGTCAGTTCCTGAGATTCTTTTCAATTCTTTAAAGAGTCACTACTAACATTTGAAATGAGAGATAAAATCTACATACACTACTTTTCTAAGCTACAGAACACTAATATTGTCTTTTGGCCTACATGGTGAGAAAAACCATAAATTGTGATTTATTATAAGTAACAAAGGAAATGAAATCTCGTACAGCACCTTTTGTTGACATTGTATTTTATACAGTAATGGAAAACTGAAGGATAAGCAGCCTGGGAATCTGTATTCAGCATTGCCACTATCCAGCCTTGTGTACTTACACAAACAGCTAGCCAAATGGGTAGAGCAGTCCATTTCTCGTACATGATACCAGTGATTTAGACAGAAGTTTTAAGGTCCTTTATGAATTACTTAAAAATCATTTAATTTTAAAACTTCCTATTTTATTTTTTATTGTGTTTCTCAGAGGAGAGGGGACAAAATTGGATACCTGGTCTTGCTATCTATCTATTATCGTCTTCATGTTTAGAACATTTTATCCTTGCCTCTACCTCCTACCCTCTTATGTCCAATTAGAGCTCTTAATCAACTGGAGGTAAGAGCAGAAGGTATTCCTGTGAAATGGGTTTTGAATTTAATTTTAGAGACACAGAGTAAACAGAAGAACTTTACCCCCCAGAGCTTTAACTCACCTGATCACACACTGGGCTATTGTCATTTACATCACTGACGGTCACCTCCACCATGGCCTGTGTGACAAAGAGCCCATCCGTGGCGGTGATATTGAGAAAGTAAATGTCCTGTTCTTCTCTATCTAAAGGTCTCTTCACATATACCTTCCACTCACTCTGCACCAGGCCCAGGGCAAACCTTCCTCGGGGGTTACCTCCTGCAAGGAAAAGAGAGCTTTTGAAGATGAGCCATGAAATGCCTGGTCGGCACCACCATGCGAGGCTATGGGGGGTGCATCCAGGTGCCCCTCACACTGTAGCATTTACGGTACTGAAACAAAAGATACTTCCTTGGATTCCCTTACAGCAAAGTGTGATATTTATATGCTTAGCTTATGTGGAAAGTAAAACAGCAACTTTTTTTTCAAGAGAATAAAATCCACTTAGAGAAACTGGAGATGATCTCTTGTTTAGTTCCCCTTAAGGAAAATCAAATTCAAACTGTGACAATCAGTCGTCTTCTTGGGATGATACAATTGTCTTTCCACTTGGTCTCAAGAGAGGATGTAATACACTATAGTTCTTGTTACCAAGACAATTTCATTAGCTGTTGATTATGCAATCAAGAAAAGGCAGTCAGTTCTATTAAGGAATCTTTTAATGAAGGCTTTATCATACAGCTGTGCTCTGCTCATAAGGACTGGAGTTTGGGGAGAAAAGTTTCCACGACAGAGGAAGACCCATTAGTATTAAAGAGCCCTAACGAGGGGTCATTTAAAGAGCCGGTCCAAAGATAAGCACTGCAATTAGATCAAATGTATCAGAGTGAAGCTGGTAAAAGTGGAAGAAAAGTAGAAGAGATGAAGCAGAACAGCATTTTATGATGCTGAAACACTGACAGTGGTCCCAGTCATATTACTTTTCCAGTTCATTAAACTACAGAGACAAAGTAGTGCAGCACACAGGTAGGAAGAGGAAAGAAAACTACCTTGACCTTCTAATCCCTAAGAGGGAAATCTTGCCAATTCAAACACTGAAAAAGATTAGGCTGAAGAAAACTAGCAAGAAGTCCAGAGTCGAGTTGAAGGATCATTATCTCATCTAATTCAGCATTGTGCAACTATATTTATCATCTGTTAGGCCTCGGTTGGTTCTAGGCAACAGAGCTACAGCAGTGGGCAAAACCAGCAAAAAATCCTGCTTTGATGGTAGGCTCACATTCTAGAGGGAAAGGTCGATAATAGTTAAAATAATTAATTAGGAGGACATAGAGGCTGAGTTCTTATAGGCAAAACCAAAACACAACTCAATGAAAACAGTAAAATGAAACTTAAATATAAAGAAACTGCTAACTAACTCTATCAGGGATTTTAAGGTTATGATTCCACTTTACCCAAATATTTTCTGTCTTGTTTACATGAGTATCTTATAAGTGAGTTTTTTCTTAATGCCCCTTTGGTGGAACTCTGAACAATTTGCAGTCTGGAGTTATCCAGTTCATGAATTGCTGTTGACTCAGATAGACTCTTTGAAATTTTAATGTGCCTAAATTTATCCTTTAGCACAATAAATAAATAAGGAACACATACTGTATGCTGGCTGCTACTTCCCAGCAAGAACAAAGCCATCTCACCTTCTTACAATGCATCCCCCAAAAACAGAGGGAAGACATCATGGCCCTACAGGTAGACTGAGCAGGAAGGAGTAAAATTACGAGTGCTTGGCTACACTCTTGACTATATGGCACAGGGAGGTGGTTAGTTCCAGGGCTTTAGCACTATGAGGCAATAACAGGAAAAACATAACCAAATTATATGAACAGTGCAGAAAAGGTGAGGGCTGCATACTCCTCTGGGGCAGAGATTTTCAGTGTCTGGAGATATTTTTGGTTGCTGCACTGAAGGGTAGTGATGGTGGTATATACTACTGGAATCTCATGGGTAGAAGTCTGGGATGCTGCTGAACATCCTACAATATGTAGGACAGCCCCTCACAGCAAAGAACTATCCAGCCCCCAAATATCAACCACACTGTGGCCCAGAAACCATACTCTAGGGAGACTCGGGGTCCTCCCTGGGATATCACTTTCCTCCACCACTGGCTAGGATTCAATTATGCTTTAGTTGAATATTATTTCAGTGCACACAAATTTAACCTCTCTATTAAGTGCTTTCAGTGCAGGCAGGCCCACACCGTTCTTTTGTTACATAAAATGATTAATGGTCCTTTGTTAATCTGAGGCAGCACAGCCACATTGTGCTACATCAAGAGCAAAAGTTAAATCTAATTAAAATCAGTTGGTGGTTGGCATGGCTAATAGTAACAGTAGCTTTAAGCTACTCTGTACTCATTACTTCAGAAAAGTCGATGGGATGGTCCCTTGAAATCTTCTCCTGAGAATTCAGAGACTGTGTGTAAATAATTAAGACCGAGTAACAATTCCTCCAAATAGAAAAGCATCTCTCAGAATGTCTAAGGAGCCTTTTCTTCCTCCAAAGCTAAATGCTATTTGCATTTATTTAATCAAAGTGTTGTTCCACTCTCCTTTCTTTCCTCACCACTTTCGTTCAGGCTTTAATTGCAGAAATGTGTATTTTTATGGAAAAAGGCAGAAAATATCAGAAAAAGCATAAGATACATAAAGTGTTCTTAAGCAGAAAACACTACTGAGCATCCAGTTCCATATGGGAAATAGAAGCACCAGGCTAAAAAGTGTGGCAACCCCACACACCGACATGTTTGGTCTACTGTGGATCTTATTCTGCAGTGATTAATTAACTTTTCCACTAACATAGTTAAGTGGATTCTGTGTCCTAAGGGCATTCTAATTAATTCATTTTTCACTGTGAATAATGTGGTTTTTTCTAAAGGGAAAGCCACCTGATTACAAGTATTGATGGAATCTTTAAAATCTTTTGGCACATTGCTTATGTTCGGGCTTTGAATGTCACAGCATAAAAATATTTGCTTTAACCCCCACCTCTGAATAGTTTCTAGGAAGCTTTCTCCACACCATCAATACTTTCTTCTTTATTGTTGAAGGCAAGTTACCTCTAGGAAGCTACTCCCAATCAGTGACAACTTTTTGCACTGTGATAGGAAATCCTCAACCCTGCAGAGCAATAGTGACATTTTTTGCATACTCCGGATGACCTCATCTTTCTATCTTGGCCTTCCAAAAGAACAGCTACTTACAATTTAGAAAGACAGAAAAGGGATCCCCCCCAACAATAAGAGTTCTCAGAAGAAATGCCCATTGGTTTGGAGTTGTAATTTAGGATTTCTCAGCAAAGGATCAAACCCTGTCTTCTAATTTATATATGTGTATGTCTAAGTGTTTTTTATGACCAGGAGGAGCTTGTATGTGAAGCTTACTGGGATCAAGTTATTTGTTTTTTCTGAACCCTAAAAACGTAAAGAAAAGGAATATTGTTAAAAATATCTCTCCCCAGTCGCAAAGAGCTATCAGTTGTATTTCTTCAATTAAAATGTGTGACCAGACTCCTTTTTAAAATGATAAGAAGTGACAAGAGAATTGGATGTCATCCTGGGTAAATGTTGTAAGCAGACTAATGAACTCCAAAGTAAGGTTGAGTTAATAACAACCAACAACTGAAAAAAACCCAAATCTATTAGAGATCTTTTACTTCTCACCAGAAATGCTTTATTATGTTCAGGTCCTCATGTCACCTTTTATCTTATCTCCTGCTCTTACCCCTGCTGTCTCCCACCTTTGTGTGATAAGCAGGGGACATGGTGAGAACAGTGGGCACTGAGACATACCTGTAATATGGTAGCTCACTTGGCGATTGATGTCAGAAGTGTCCCTGTCCCAGGTGCTGAGGACAGCCACCACCTCGCCTGGTGGGTCGCTCTCCTTCACGTTCCCTCGGTACACCTCATGGGCAAAGACTGGTGCATTGTCATTTATGTCTGTCACTCTGACAGAGACCAAGGCTGTGGAAGAAAGAGAGAATGCCTCTCCAAGGTCAGAGGCCACCACGGAGAAGGAGAATGCAGGGTCTGTCTCATGATCCAGGTCCTTCAAGGTACTGATCCAGCCTGTGTTGCTGTCAATATTGAAGGCTTCCATTACCTTCTCGGGGTGGGAATCTGAGTGGAGGGAATAAGTGACCTGCCCATTGGCTCCCCAATCCATATCGCTAGCTCTCACCTGTGTGAGTTTGGTGCCGACAGGCATCCCTTCCATTATGATGGTCTCGTAGCTTGACGTCTCAAAGATTGGCTTGTTGTCATTCAAATCCAATACCTTGATATCTACATCCACAGTAAACACAATGTCTACCTTGTCCAGGGGTATAGTGGCTGCTACTTTAAAGTGAAAAGCTGGTGTAATTTCATGGTCAAGGCGCTTGTCAAGCTTGATTGTGCCTGTGTCCTGTTCTATGATGAAGACACCCCCTTTGTTATTCTCTGGTCGTTCCCCATTAACTGTGCTGAACTGGACATTCTGACTGGGCAAAATCCTCAAGGTGTCCACGGTGCCTCCAATGGCTGTATCTTCTGCAATGGTAAAAGAGTACTGAGACTGGGTGAATGAAGGCAAGAATGTTTCAGGGGGCAAGACGTGGATATAGACAGGGATGAGGGAGTGCTTTACTGGAATGCCCCCGTCTACTGCTTTGACAAAGAATGACAGCACTGTATTTTTCAGCTGGTTAAAATTGCCCTTTGTAACCATCCAGCCATTGTCAGGATCAATTTCCAGGAGGTCAGCCACTGAGACAGAGGCCTCACTATATAGGGAATAAGTAATCCTTGAATTGGCTCCATCATCTGGGTCCATGGCTTGAACTTGGGTGACCAAGTGGCCCTTTCCAACATCTGCCCTGACACTGGCTCTGTATTCCACTGTCATGAACTGGGGAGCATTGTCATTTTCATCCACCACAATCACCCTCACAGTGCAGAAAGTTGTTCTCCCACCACCATCAAGGGCCCTCAAAAAGATACTAACATCTCCTTCTAGAGGGTTTTCCCGGTCTAGTTTTTCTGTAGTGATGACCTGTCCATTGCTGTCTATGAGGAATCGATCCTTGGCAAAGTCATTGATGATGGCATAGCTGATCTGCCCATATGTTCCAGGATCCCCATCTGTGGCTCGCACATGAATTACCTTTGTCCCAGCAGCTGCATTCTCTCTCACCTCAGCTACATATGTGCTTTGTGAGAAGGCAGGGCTGTACAAGTTAGCTCCCAGTACCCTGATGTGCACCTGTGCAGTGCTGGTGAACAACCCGTCAGAAACAGACACATTGAGACTGTACAGCGGCTCCATCCGCTGCTTTCGGTGGTTGGACAGTGTGATGACGCCACTCTTGCTGTCCATCAGAAAGCTTGTCCGGTCATTCCCAGATAAAATACTATATTCCAACCGGTCAAAGTCCGAACTGTCTGCATCTGAGGCTTGTACACAGGTTACAAAATGACCCCGGGGGGCTAGTTCACTCACATATGATTCATAAATTAGCTGATTAAACACTGGAGGGTTGTCATTTATGTCAGAGATGTGGATATGAACTAGAACCTCACTGCTCAGTGAGGGGAAGCCACTATCTGTTGCTCTGACTTTCAAAGTGCAGTGTTGCACCAATTCATGGTCCAGCATCCTTGCTGTCAGGATTAAGCCACTTGAACTGTCGATGTGAAAATAATCTGTGCTGTTGTATGTATCCTGCACAATCTGATAATGCACCATTTTATTGTTTTCTGAATCTGCATCAGTAGAGACAACTTGCAAAACGGGTGTCCCAATGAGAGATGCTTCTGATAATGTTGTATTGTAGGCAGGCTGATCAAAAATAGGAGGGTTGTCATTTACATCATTAACTAGCAAGTCGACCGTGACCTCCGCCCTGGCACCAGTAAGGGCATCACTAGCTCTTACTGTCAATTTGTAAACAGGTGTAACTTCATAATCCAAAGGACTCACAACTTTCAGGACCCCCGTGTCAAAGTCAATGTTAAACTGTTTAAAAGGATCCCCATCAATAATAATATATATGATGCCTTGGCCTTCTGGACTGGTAGCATTGATGCTTAGAATGGGAGTGTCCATTCTCACGTCTTCATTGATGGAAGCTGTATAAAAGGGCTTATCAAACACAGGCATTGCTTTGTTGACAATGGTGATGGGAAGTTCCACAGATGTGGACAAAGAGGGTTTTCCACCATCTTTGGCTAAGATGGTGACTCCATACTCAATGTTGGACAAGTCAGAATTGAATGCTTCTTTTAAAATAACATTCCCTGAATTTGGATCAATTTCAAAGTGGCCATAGTCATCCTGTAGGACATAGGTCACTTCTCCGTTTGCACCTTTATCTTTGTCAATGGCTGTTACCCGGTATATAAGAGTCCCTGGCTCAGCATCAACTTGCACAGCAGCATAGTAAGGGAGACCCACAAAGACTGGAGAATTGTCATTGATGTCTTCAATGTTAACCCTGACCACTACTCTAGCCACACGTAGATGGTCTAGTTCACGGTTGGCTTCCACCACCAACTCATATAATTCTTGTTCTTCACGGTCAAAGGGGACTCCAGTGGTCTGAATGACTCCTGAGGTAGATTTTATCTTGAATTTATTTCCTGGGTTTAAGATGCTATATTTTAAGGGCTCATTAAGGCGGTTTCCAACTGCATTGACAATAGCAACTTTGGTTATGTTAGTGTTGTTCTCTGAGATTGAGGTGGAATAAAAACTTTGTGTAAAGTGAAGGCCACTATCCATGGCTTCTTTAACCATGATGGTGACCATGGATGTGCTGTAGAACTTTCCATCAGACACTTTAACTATCAGCATGTAGTGATCTTTGGAGAGGTTGTTGTTTTTTATGGTGAGTATTCCACTATTGGAGTCAATTAAAAAATGATCCAAGCTGCCTTCCATTAGACTGTATGTCAGTTCAGGAGGCACCTCAGAGTCAGGGTCTGTGGCACTAACTTTCAGGACCTCCACACCAACATAGGTGGGGAGAAGTAAGACAGTCTCAAACACAGCCTGAGTAAAAACAGGTGGGTTATCATTCACATCTGTAACCTCAATGTTCACTTCAACAGGACTCTCTGCAGTCAGCTGGGGGCTACCACTATCTCTCACATGCACATGAAAATGGAAATGGGCAATGGTCTCATGGTCCAGGTTGGCAATTGTTCTGATTGCACCTGTACTGGAGTCCACTGTGAAGAACTTCTTGGCTGTAGACTCCACAATCTGATACACGAGTAGTGCATTCTGATTGCTGTCAGCATCGGTGGCTCGAATTACCAGTGGGCTGTTATCCAAGCTCCTGACAATGCTATTGACTGGGGCAGCCTCACTTAGGCTGCCTGAGTATTGAGAGAAGAGAAAAACTGGAGCATTGTCATTTTCATCAACAATCTGAATATTGACGGTGGCATTGGAAGCCATTCCTGCCATGTTAGTGGCCTGAATGATGAGTTGGTAAGAGGAAGTACGCTCATAATCCAGAGCCCTCTGAGTGGTGATGACTCCAGAATATGGATTTATGGTAAAGACCCCACCAGTGTTTCCATCTTTGACTTCATAAATGAGGGTAGACTGACTGATGGCAGAGATTAGAATGACCGAGGTTCCAATATCCACATTTTCATTTACTTCAGCTTGGTAGTCTTTATGAGTGAACTTGGGGTGAGAGTTATCAGACATGGTGACGGAAATGCGCACAATTGCAGTGGCAGACATTGGTGGGGAACCTTGATCTGTGACTTTGACTGACAGGACAAACTGACCCATCGTTGTCATGTCTGGTTCTTTGGAAACAGTGATGATGCCCAGGACTGGCTCGATCTTAAATGTGTTTCCAGTGTTCCCTAAAATACAGAAAAGGAAAAGGAATTACAAGGGAGTCATTAAAAAAAAAAAGGTTTTCTAAAGGTTGACCCTTCATGTAAAGAAACTCTAGTGCAATGTGGCCAACAGAAAATAGATACATATATTTCTATTCATCTCTTATCGTTCTGAAAGAGAAAACAAACCAACAAAGAAAAAAGAGACTTCTGTTTCCAGGATGTTGAAAAGAAAGTGATGTGAGTTTTCCAGTAAAATTATAAACTTTAGAGCCATAGTTTTTTGATCTAGGTTAAAAACAGCAGTGGCAGCAGTGGCACACAATGGGGTACATTTAAGCCAGAGAATAAGAGCTTATAGGAGAGCTATTTCTGCTATAAATGTGTAGGACTTCCTCATTCCTAAGCCTGTGAGAAGAGGGACAGACTGGATGACACACATACCAATGTTGCTAGTACAGGGAAGAAAAAAAAAATATCTATCCATACCTAAACCAGTGCCATGTTCACATTTAGTTTTGGAAGATCATCATGCAGGCATTTGGTTACTATTTATCTCAAAGATAATATATGCTACATGGTATTAGTGCTATTTCACCCTGTCAATCAAAATAAACTTCCTCAGGGCTGGGGTTGTGGCTCGCAGTAGAGCATTCGCCTAGCACGTGCGAGGCCTTGGGTCCGATCTTCAGCACCACATAAAAATAAATAAATAAATAAAAGATATTTTAAAAATAAATAAATAAATCAACTTCCTCCAAATTCCACTTTGGTGTGGTGGGTTTTATCAGTCACAGAGAATTCTTCCCAAGTCATTGTTTGTTTTGCAAGTTGTATTTTTTTTCCCCCTGAATTTTCCCCTGTTCTTCACTACTGCTCTAACTTTCTCCCATGCCCTTGAACACACAGAGGTATAGACAGACATTAAAGAAGACATAAAATACTACAAGTTTATTGCTCCAATCTGTAGCCACTCTACTCACTAAGCACTCGAGAACAGCCTTAAACCCAAGAACTTGAATCAAAACCCTTATGAAACAAAGACATGGTGACCTGTTTTGCCAGGTCTGGCATGGGGAGAGCTATGGGCCATGACACCACCTCTAAAATATGAAAAAATTTGGAATCTGGGATTGTTGAGGATGACTGAAACAAAAGAGGAGCAAAGAAACAAAAGATCTGAAGAATGTAAAGAAGGTGGGTAGGGGCAGGAGCTCAAAAATAGTAGACGGTGTGAAGTTACATCCTTCCCAAGTTGCTTTATGTTTTCCCTCCTTGGACTCTCCAACGCTTTTATAACAACACCCTTTATTTTGTGTTGAAACTCTTTTAAATCAACATTTAAAGATCCTAGTTACTCAACTATAGCTAGATCTTTCCTTCTTTTTGAGTTCTGTAGTATGGCAAGCATATAAACCATTTAAATGTCAAAATCATTAAGATAGGCTCTTGGATTTAGGGGTTGTTGTGATATGCTTATTGAAATATACAGCAAATACAGCTGTGTCTACATTTCTTGGTGTATATTTATTAAATAAACATTTCCATGTCCATAAAGCAAAAGGTCATATTCCTATAAAATCTACTTCAATAAAACACTTTTCAAGAGGAAGCATATCTAATAGAGAGGCCAATTTAATTCCAATCCCACAATGTGATATTAAACAATGTCATCTTTGATGTCAGCATGATTTTTTTTTTCACTTTGCCACCAAACATGATCATTTTGTAATGACAACAACAGAATTTAATGATGTTTGGGTGAGCTTTTACATTTTCAGTGATGAGCACAGTGGAATCAGGCATAGATCCAACATTTGAGCCAGCTGTCATTTCACTTTATCAATGGTCACCTTCCAGGGACAGCAACTGAGCCAAGTTGCTGCCTTCACTGGTTATGGTGTCCTACCTCAGAGTTTATAGAAAAATCCTTCCTTGTACCAGCCCCAGCAACATTTCTTCATTCCTAGCAAGATACATTAAAGCAGGAATGCAGGTGATCCAGCTCTTGACCTCCACTTGAACTTCATGGACCTGCTGTCCCCTGGAAACTGATCCACTTGTTATACCCTCTCAGGATTCTGGACTCATACTTCAGGTTCTCTTTCTCTCTTCAATATACTGACCCATTTCCTTGAGATCCCGTTCCTGCATATCCTCTCCTTCGATTCCTGAATCTTTGAAAAGGAATCTCTACTTGCTTGTTTTCTTGGAATCTATGGCTTCGTTTAGACTTTTGGCAACTAGGCAAAAGCTGTGTTTTTCATATTATCTGATGTATTGCACAGTGTCTGACACAAAGAGGGTGCTTGATAATTATTTGTTGAAATGATTGGGAGGAGATGTAAATCAAAAGCGAATTTTAATTCTCTATCCCCTTGGGATCCAATATGCCATGTTCTAACTCAACTCTTGGGATCCAATATGCCATGTTCTAACTCAACTCTTATTTGTGTCTCTCTTGTGCTGTGCTACTTCAGAATCACCATTGGCAACAAACAGAAAACCCAGGCTAAAATAAGTCCTGAAGCACTGCCCTCAAATTATATTCAAACTCAAAACTCAGTTCTTCAGACTAAAATATAAAGCTTCTGTAGTTACTTTAGAGGCCAAGCAAGAGAGAGGGAATTTATAGCACATCATTAAATAGAGAAAAATCTCGCTTATCGGAGGTCTGTGAGAGAAGTTAAATAAAACATAACATTTTACACAACCACTGACCATGTGCTAAAAATACTGAAGCACCTGTGATCTGTCTTTCTTTCTATAATCTGGGAAGGACCAGTTTAGGCTCAAGGTAGGTCTTCGAGTCTGTGAAGGTCTCAATGTCTACGAGAGATTTCTTGCATGTGTTGTAATTCTCACTAGCTTGGTGCCCACTTCAACAAAAATCACCTTTTTTGAGATATCAAAAAAAGTTTAGTTTTCTGGAGATTTAGGTTTTCTATATATATGGGATTTCCCTAACCCAAAGGAATATTTTATTTTTGAATCAGGTGAATAAACCTGTGTTTTCTTTCATTTTTTTTTAGTAATATATAACATTCGGATGTTTTAAGAAAATAACTTTTCTCTTGATTTACTCAGTTATTAAAGAAATAACTGAGCACCATGTTGCAATCATGGAAGTTAAAATAAGAGAAGCAGTCTTTTCAGCTGATGGTGAGTAAATCACTACCTGAGAACACCAAATTGGGTGAAAGATTCTTCGGCTAAGTAAGAGAAGTAAAAGTAGTGTTTAAATGACAAATATACAAAGCAGGTGGACACTTAGACAAATGTTTAGAAAATGACAAGGTCGTAGAAATAAAACTTCACATCCAAATGATCACAATGTCATGAAGCAATGTACATGCATGAATGAATAGAGGGAAAGAGAAAAGACAAGCTCAGAGAAAACCATACAGAGAATAAACAGAATTGTTGGATTAGGTGACAACTGTGTTGTCATGTACATATTCTCAAAAAAAATTTTGAGAATTTTCCATATATTTTTGTGGTACCATAAAAGCAAGGATCGCATAATTAAATAATAAAATTCTTCCTTGATAAATAAGGAATGCATTTCTAAATACTGGTCAAGCTTTAGGCTGAAATAAAATTCCACAGAACCTGACTATCATGGACTAACATCTTTTCTTTACATGCATACATACACACACACACACACATACACACACATATGGAGAGAGAGAGACGTAGAGAGAGACAGAGAGATAGAGATAGCGCTTAAGAGCGCACAAGCTTAGAATAGACTCATAAAATGTGGACACCTAATACAGGGAATAATTTTAGATTATCTTTTGATATAGAAACTTTTTTTTAAGAAGGCTATTGGCTTTTCCTTTTCTAAAATTTCTAGTCCAAAAACTGTCATTCTAGCATTCCTATTTTAATTCAACTACTCACAAAAATACTCTACGTTTAAATGAAGGCATATCTATCACTGGCATAAAAGGAGATTACATTTGGCATTATGCACAACAGACATAATGTTGCAAAACGTTTTGGAAATATGTGGCTTGCATATTCGAAAAAGATAGAACAGGATAAGGAAAATAGAGCAGACAAAGGGTATTTGTCATTTTCAGGCTCACAGTTCTATCTCTTCCTTGGACATGAATCTCTCTGTCATAGATGCTTTCTAGCTATTGATCTTCAACCAACAGTACACTATGGTCTTGCAACCATCAGTACACTATGGGTGTTAAATAGATTTTAAAAGATCTCAAGTTTAACAAAACAAGAGCCTGTACTTACTTATCTGTCAGGTTAAGCAGGTAGTTCAGACCCCATATCTACCAAACTCTCTGCTACTCAGACTGCCTCCAGTGAGGTGAATTGTGCTAACTGTGAGGGCGTAGGGATTCTGAAAGCCACAGCCCACCTACTGACAAGTAAACAAAGACACATAAGATTCAGTTCAACAGCCCAGCAGCCCTCAGGTGACAGGAAGGAGGCTTTGGTTATTTTAGTCTGAAACCATGACTTGTTGGCCCATGGGTAAAAGCCACAGAATGCATTACACATTTCTTCTTCATTCCAGGAAAACCCAAGATTGAACAAGGGGAAGGAAACTCTCCTTGCTGTCAACAATGGAAGACATAATACTGACACGCCAAGAACTTTATGCACCATTATCACAATAAAATGGGTGGTGCTTGGCCAAGATTTCATTAGAGATCTAATGGTATCAATCTGAATTCACCATGGTGATAGATACTACTGAGGTTGAATGCCATGCATTATGCTGTAATCTATGCCGTGTAACAGCTCTCACCTGCTTCTATGGTATATATGAGTTCTGCATTTTCCCCTTTGTCTTTGTCCAGAGCCGTCACTTGCAGAACAGCTGATCCCAGAGCAGCCGACTCAAACACGGATGCTTCATATAGTGGGTTGGTAAAATAAGGACTGTGATCATTAGCATCTTCCACATTCACAATGACTCGGGCTAAGTTTCTTCGATAAGGAAACTCCTGATCTCTGACCTTTAGGCAAAATACAAGAAGCAGTAGGACTAAACTCTTAAACAGCAAAGAACTCAATGGCTATGTCTGTGATGAAAACAACAACAAAAAAAGATGATGCACACAGTTCTTGACCCAGTTCCAGATATTTAGTTCATGCTCAATTAACAATGGTATTACCAAGCAAGAACATGGTGAGCAAATCAAGAGCAGGGGCTACATCATCTTTTTGCTCAGGAAGCCTGTCCTATAGTCTCTGTTCAGCCTGTGTCTGCAGAATCAATGCCTTGATATAAAAAATATCACAAACACAGCATTCTGCTCTGGGACCCCTTGCACAGCCACTTTCCCCTTGTTATGTGTATTAATATCTGCTCATGGAATGGTGGACAGAGGCTCTTCTAAAGGAGAAACTAAAGAGTGGAATTGATGAATACAATGTGGGCATTGCCATTCATTCATTCAACAAACATTTATTGTCATCTATTATCCAACAAGGTCCTTGCTTAACTCTGACGCCTCAGTAGTAAATTGGATATGGTTTCTACCCTCCAGAAGCTTAGGGTCGATTTGGGATTACAAATAATTAAATAGGCAGGTATAGTACCCAGTGATAAGTGCCAGCATGGGTTACCTAAATGTGCCCTCAGAATAAGCAGTAAGAAGAGCCTAACCTAGCATTCAGCTTCCTGGAAGAAGTGACAAGAACAGGTAGAAGTAGTAAAATGGTGGTGATCATTGCATGTGGCACTTTGAGGCAAGAAGATCCAATATACCCAAAGGCCCAGAGCTGAGAGAGAATCCTGACCACTGGTAAGATGACTACAATCAATTTCTAAAATTGAGATCCTTCTTGTAACTCCATCAAAAAACTTGGCTTGATGGCTTTAAAATGTTCCCTGGTTTGCATATGGCTGAAGCTTATAAACAATCAATACTTTAACCACATGGTTCTGCTATAATTTGATACAGTACTAGTTAAATGTGTATTCTTGGCTTGTTCAATTTTAGGCTGCATAACTTCACAGAAATGTGAATAAATTAGAAAATGTGCTGAGAAGAGCCATCAAAGAGAAGGGGGTTTCATAAATAGTACCTGGAAGGAATAAGTAACATGACTAAAATGGTGTAGCTTGAAGAAAGGCAGCATAAAGGATTTGTTTGCTCTAAATATTCAGTTACATAAATGATATTTGGTAGAGGGTGACCAAACTGAATTCTGAGTTTGTTAAGCAAACAATAAACAGAAATGACTTGAGAAACCATGAGAATGGAGTTAGTAACTGGCACAGGTTCTGCCCTTGAAGAAAACACATGCAAAATCAAAACAATGAGTGTGCTGAATTTCTGTAGACTGGTGTATCCACACCCAAGGACCAAGGTGAACTCTTTATTTTGGAATTATTAACATCTAGGTCAATTTCAACTGTTAGCTCCAAGGGTGCAGAGACTTTTTCTCTTTTGTGTCTTCAGTGCCTAGAATAGTGCTTGGTGCACAGTATGTACTCAAAAAATATCATCTGTTGAATGAATGAAGGCCAGGGGGTGGATCAGATGACCTCTGGGAATCACCCCTTCAGTTCCCTGGAGCCTTAGCTGGAACCCACAACTGAGGGCATGATACTCAAATTTCCTCTTGCCCAGGAAACTCTCCAGTCTTGGGAAGGAAAAGTGGCATTTAGCGCAACATTACTTTTAGCTGCTTCTTGGGAATTCATAGAGTCTTAGAGTGTTTTAAAGCCAATCAGTGCTCAAGATTAAGTCTGTGTCATCCTACTAGGTCTTAAGGAATGCAGGGCTCTGTTAGGCAGTGGCTGTGCATTGCCCATGGGGTTCATGGATCATTAAAGGAACAGATTATAGGCCATAGAGTTTCTTATTAATCTCTACTTTTCAATTACTTCTCCTACCTAATTTGAACACAAATTGAGACTTAAGACTCTCCACAGGCTTTAGAGTGTGTTGAGATCTCTTTGTGTGCCAGTATTCACTTCTAGGTTCAATGGCAGTACAAAAAGTACCCAATCAGGTCTATAAATGCTTTCAGGGACTGAGAATTGCACAGGCTGGATAAGTAAGTGCCCTTGTGACAGACTTCTCAACTTTTCCACACATCTTCTGGATGCAAACCAGTGGTAGAGCCTGGGAATATGGCTTACTCCTCCCCTGTCAAGCCAGTCTGTTGGCAAAATTTTCTTGTCTGCCAGTGTCTGCAAAACTTGTCTAATATTTCAGCTTGGCAAAAAAACATGAAGCTGCTATCTAACAACAGTAATTCTTTATTGAAATAAAAAGTCAAAAGTAAATGCAATCTGGCAGTGAAAAAGTTAACTTCACTACTACTTACAAAAATTAAGGGCCCTGTACTTTTGAAGACTTTTGTGCCTTGAAAGGTTAGTGATCCTGTCAGGACAGCATATTAGCCATTTGCCCCTACCTACCATTATATTGAGAATATGCTTGTCCTGGGCTTCATGATCTAGTCTCTCAGCAGTATAGAGCACACCAGAGCTGGGGTCGATCCGGAACTTTCTCATGCTGATGGAGTCGATGCTGCTGTGGACAGTGTAGCTCAGCTTGTGCTTCTCATCTCTATCTGTGGCTTCAATCTGCAATATCTCTGTATCCGGAAGCACGTCCTCAGAAATCGTCACATCATAATGAGGCTGAGAGAATTCTGGGCCATTATCATTGTTATCCAGCACTTTAATAAATACCTATAGTTAAAAGAAGACAAGAGTGATCACTAATGCCAGTTCACTCATTGTTAATAAAAGAGGCTCCTTCCTCATCACATCCCCCATGTCTTTGCATCGTAACACCTAGCAGCTATCTCAACATAGATAGAAAGCTCTCTTATAAAGAACCCTGTGTAATTAGTAATTCACATTATCAGGAATATAAACAATGAGCTGATCAATATCTTCACTATTAACTGAACAGACGAGACAGCCACCAGAAGGTGATAATTTCATGGAATTATTTGAGGCACAATGGAAAAGATCACAAGGTGACCTTCTTAGTAAATTCCTATAATCTTAGTTTATTTCTATGGGCTTCTTCTCATAATGGACTTACATGGTGGCAGTCACAGAATGGGAAAAGCAGAAGTAAAGAGACAGAGGAAAGGGAAGAAGGAACAGAGCTGGACACAGCAGCACAGTCAAGCTTCTCAAGGGTAGCATTGACAGCTTTGGGAGGTGTTATGGTTTAGATAGCAAGTGTCCACCAAAAGCTCATGTGTGAGACCATGCAAGAACCTTCAGAGGTGAAATGATGGGTTACAGGACTTAATCCAGTCAATGAATTGATACCCTGATGGGATTAACTAAGTGGGGGCTGAAGGCCAGTAGGGTATGGCTAGAGGAGGTGGGTCCCTGGGGGTGTGCCCTCGGGGTATGGGGTATATATTTTGTATCTGGTGTGTGAAGTCTCTCTTTGCTTCCTGATCATCATGTGAGCCACTTCCCTCTGCCACACCATTCTGCCATGATGTTTTGCCTCACCTCAAGCCCTGAGGAATGGAGCTGACTGTCTATGGACTGAGACCTCTGAAACACTGAACCCCTAAATGAACTTTTCCTCCTTTAAAATTGTTCTTATCAGGTCTTTCAGTCACAGCAGTGAACAAGGTGACTAAGACAGGAGGATTCAAGAACATGGTGCTAATG